TTTTAAATTGAGATTTTACTATAAAATAATGGAAAAATAGGATTATTTCAAAAATGGCCTGAACAGTTTTGATACAAATTTAGTGTATAAGTCCTTTAAATGCTGAACAAAATGGTAAAAATCCCATTTCTCGTCAAAGTTATTTTAATTATCTTATCGTGTGCAGCAAGGTGCCACTTTGCTCACTAGTTACACAAATAACTATAGTCCAGTCAGCAGGTAGTTTTAGATGGAAAAAGGTCGGAAGTTAATGAAACTTGGGGATGTTATTTTGGGATGATAAATCAACATTTTCCCAAGTTTTGGACCTCGAGGACCCTGTGGAAAAAAGATGGTGGGAGAAAAACATCAAAATTTTGTACACTTTTTTGTTTTTTTCTCAATAACTTTTTTCCCTTACTTCCTACCGAAAAAGCATACGTTACACTTTTGTAGAGCGTTAAATTTCCTACAATTCTACAGTTCAAACATGTTTGTACAATAATTTGTTACCGAGCAATAGTATTTTTATTTTAATATATTTTAAAAAATACACCAAAATATGCAAAAAGGCAGATTTTCTACTTATTTTTTCTGTTGCACGCAAATTAATACTTAATTTTGTAGTAATTATCGTTCCAGGTTATAAGCACCATATCCGGATACTCCCACGCCTCACCCACCCCGCACTCAACTGATCAAGGTGGCTTTCTACACCCTGGTTTCACACTATCACAATATTATTCACAATTACAATTGATTAATATGTTGTTAAACACTACCATCAAAACATACATCAGTGACGTTAACTGCCACTTCGCACGAGAAATAAGCATATCATACATGAAGAAAATAATGGATGAAAATGTTGAAGAATTGAAACTCAAACGGATGGACAAGGTGGTGATTCTCACTTCTGTTTCATGCTCGTTGAAAATTTCTGGTAAAAAACTCACTGTCTATCCTCTCACTCTTTTCCAGTGTGTCTGCGTCGCAAAAATATTTGAGTAATATATAAATAAGGTCTTTAAGTTTGAACTCGCCCCCTTACCCATATCAATCTTTATCGAGGAAGGAATGTGCAAGGGAACAAAGTCTGTAATGTACTCACTTTTCACTCCTATAGAGAAAGTAAACATTGTCAACAGGAAATATAACGTAATTAGAGGTTACATAAAGTGGTGTGGAACAAAACTCCTACAAGCATCTGAGGACGCCGACATGATGATCGTCAAAACCGACATATCCAAGGCTAACGAATTCGATAGCGTCGTCAATACTGTTCAAGATGTAGACACACTTATTCTCTTGACAGCATTAGGAAATAATACAAATAATGTCTATCTTCATAAAAAGTGGGAGGCGCACATATCCCGGTGTCTTCTACTCTCCAAGTTTCTGCTCCTCTCCTCCACACAGCAGGTGGTTTTGATAACACCTCAGCTGCGAAAAGTAACTGATATCAAGACCAAAAAGATCTGAATATGGTTGGTTTTCATCGAAGAACAAAATTAGCATTTGAGAATTGGGGTTGGGTTTGGAAGGGATGGGTAGTATGGTGGGGGAGGGTGTATCCAAATATGGTGCTTATAACTTGGAACCATAATTACTAAAAAATTTTGTGATAATTTGCGTGCAACAGAAAAAATATGTAGGAAATCTGTTTTTTTTTTTTTCATATTTTGGTGATTTTTTTAAAGATACATTAAAATAAAAATACTATTGCTTGGTAACAAATTATTGTACAAACATGTTTGAACTGTAGAATTGTAGGAAATCTAACACTCTACAAATGTGTAATGTATGCTTTTTCGGTAGGAAGTAAGGGAAAAGTTATTGAGAAAATACCCCCGCCGCAGCAAACCTGCCGTCTAAGCGAATTTCCATTTGGCTTTTCAATCGATCTATTTAAATAACATTAGGTTTAACGAGTACCTAGGTTAGCTGCTACAAGGAAACTAATAAAGTGTGTGTTTTGAATAAAATAATTATTGCTTAGTAGAAAATGAATATATTTGCCAAGTTTGATCAAAAGATATCCATAAACAAGCAAACTACAACATTTTACAATATTCTCCATAAGAATAACATGGGAATTTACAAATTTACAATTTTTTTAGTTTTCTCCGTAACCAATAACCGTACAAAAACGCTTTGATATACTGAATTGTTTGTTTTTTTAAGCTCTTTAAGAAGGTTTAGAGAAAAATTGGGAAATTTTGTGTTTTGAGGGTCAAAAGTGAGAAAAACCTATTTTTACCCCATAAAACCCTGTTCCCATGGTCCGATCATGCTGGATTGCGAACTCATTCAAGTTTATCCCGCCTTACACCTTCAAACCAAATTTCATCAAAATCGGATAAAAATTACTCAAGTTATCGTGTTCACGGACACATATATATATAAATCTATCTATATATATATATATATACATATATAAAAATTTGAACGAATGGTGTTTCTGGCCTCTGGGGACATCAAAATGAAAAAGTAAATCGGTCCCGGGCCTAAGTCTACCATGAGACCTACGGTAATAGCTACTTCCCTATAGTGAAATTCGCTAAAAGCAAAAAAGTGCCCAAAATTTTGAAGTTTTTCCCCCACCATCTTTTTTCCACAGGGTCCTCGAGGTCCAAAACTTGGGAAAATGTTGAATTTATCATCCCTGAACAACATCCCCAGGTTTCATTAACTTCCGACCTTTTCCCATCTAACGCTTGTTTGTTCTACCTGCCGACTGGACTACTATTGTCACTCTTTTTTTTTGCCGCGCTCCAGTATTCCAACCAAACAACACAAAACAGTGTGCTTTTATTATATACAGAAAACCTAACCTAAAAACGTGTTTTATAGTGTTTGAAAGACTAATTATGTATATGCTTTATAGTTACTGTTTACTGTAGGAAACATTTTGTGTTGCGCTTGCAAAGTTCGCTCACTAATTACACAAATAACTATTTAAGATAGGCTAATGTGTATTTCAAGATTTGCGCTCATTTTTGTGCCAACAATTCAAACAGCTGTTTGTTTTAGCTAACTATAGCAGTTAACTTATGTAGTTATGTACCGTATTTCAGTTTAAAAAGTACCACTATTCTAAAACTGGTGCAAACATGATAAACAAAAAGAAATATTTTTTCTTTTAATAGGTCTTGCATTATTAATCTATGCACCAAATTCCAATTCACAACAAAAATCCGTTATCAAATAAAAAAAATTTTAATGGCGGCCAACCGGGTTGTTTTTTAGTTTTGGAAATTTGGAATGTGATATTTTAATTTGTCTTTGGTCCATGACGAATGATACCAAGGTCGGTAGATAATTCGGGGACACTGTGTATATAAAAGTCACATAAAAGTAAGAATTGCATCTTTTTACTTCTTAGTAATAAAGTACAGTATATAACTTCTCTGGTTCTCTGTGGTACATTATTATTATTATTATTATTATTATTTGTTGTCATGAGAGCCGAAGCCCCCTGACTGCTTACCCGGTACCTATCCTCCAGGACATACCCGGGCCCCATGATGTAGGCCGAAGCTTACGCATCAACCTTTAGCACATCATGGGCGGATGACTTAAGGTCATCAGGCTCGCCGGCTGCCGAAGCAGACCCTTCGGAAAGAGGGTTGCCCCTCAATCCTAACCAGGGATTCCGGCTGCTTGTTTAAGCGTCACTCCACCTGGGTTCCACTAGGTCGGAACCTAGAGGTCCATAGTAGAGCGCCCCGACGCATTTAGTGCAAGCAACACTCGGGACCTATCTCATCCCTGACAGGCAGAACCCGCCATCAATAGCCAGGAGGAAGGGGACCATCAGCACGCTGACGGGGGGAACCCCAACCTCCCATTTACACCGCTGCCCGATCGAGGCCTGACCCATTGCTGGGAACCAGAGATATCCAGAGCGATAGATCCCCAGATACCCCTGGCGGGCTCGGACCCAGCACCCGATCTACTTCGTTTGCCCGTCAGACCCAACATCACTGCCAGGCCATCAGGGTTTCCCAAAAGGAGGCAGGTATAGAAGTGGGACCCACCCGGATGAACCTATCCACCAGAGGTGGCGACACCCTTGACTCAATTGAGGTTCCGGGAAGAACCCCCCACACTCAAGATAACCATACCGTCCGTGCTCAGAGACAGGGATAGGTTTGCATAAGTACCTACAAACCGTTGCCCTCACACTGCGGAAAGTTACGTTGCCCTTGAGTGTCCCCGTGAGCTGCGGGTACTTGCCCGTTTTCACCTCCAGGAAAGGTTACTTCCAAAGTCGAGGATTTGCCCACTGAATGCTGGTCGCACACCACAAGCAGGCCGAAGCCCAAAGTACCACAGACACAGGTAGGTTAGAGATTATGATGTTCTCTGTGGTACAGTAGTCAAGTGGTGTTATGACCGTGGTTATATGATATGACCTTGATCCCTTCCCGTTTCCACCGAATTTCCCGTCTTTGCGCGGCGCCGAAAATTACAGTTTCGTAGCCTCAAGTCTTTATCTGATTTGGAAAATTTAAATATAGGAAGAACACAAAGTAATTTTTACTTTAAACAAGTGTTTTATAGAGTAAGCTTACAGTTCGCAATTAAATAATTAGCTTATGATAAACCATTGCGATTGGGCCTACACGATTGCATTTTTCGTACATTGTCCCTCAAAAAGTAAGTTTTTATCCAGAAACTTACCACTATCATTTGAAATTCAAGCTATGGAGCAATCTTCCAAATTGGTGGCCGGTATGTTGTCCAGCAGATTTAATTATCCCAAATCATATTAGCCTATATTAAAATGAGAAATTTGCTAAACGTAAAAGATTGAATAGCTTTTTTCTAAAGTTATTATTAAATTAAGCATAGTTTAATTTCCCCATGCCCTTCTAAAGCTTTGTCCATGTCCATTGTAAATAATAATTTATCACTGATAGAGTCAACGCCCTAGAGATTAATTTATAATGATTTATTAATCAAGTCAAATACAACAAGCAGGCAGCGCCAGCGGTCCTAGTGGCGGCTTTGAGAAACACAGGAAGGGGTTAATGCTGGAGATAAATTTATTAGTGCACAATCATTCCTTAGATAAATCACAAGAAATGTATACAAGATTATAAAGTAGCGGTACACTACCAGAAATATGCATGAGGTCTAAAGGATTTAATTTTGAGGTCAGTAAATAGTTTATTATGCAAATCCAAATTACAAACTGCATTATGATGATTTGTTTCATCATACTTTTATACAGTAGCTCGTTTTTACGACTCAAATATTGATAAAATGTAGATGACGTATTCGAGTTGTATCAGTTGAATAAAGAAATGTTCTGAATGGCTATATAGCAGACGAGAATGTTTGGTTGATATTTTTACTAGAGGTTATATCGTAAGCTCGTGGATCAATACTGGGGAGGGTATGTCTACTCACTGTTCACTGCACAGCACCTTTATGGCCGGCTGTGGCTGAATTGAAGGCACTACTTTACACCGGAGCACTTATCAACAATTTTCTGCAATAGTTCTTCTACAACAAAATGTAGAGTCAGTAAAGTTATTAATGAGAATGAAATTCAATATTTTAAAACCACTGTATAAATCATATTTTGTGACATGGGTAAAAACTGCAGTTCAATAATTGAATGAAACATTTTCATTACTAATATAATCTTACTAAGTGATATAATAAATAAAAGTGGTTTCTCCAGTCACTAAAATTTAAATAAGAATTAATGCATCTAATCCAAAGAAATAAGTTTTAAGAATGGATTAAAATTGTGCCCAAAATTAATTTTAGCTATGTATTTCAATTTAAATAATGTAGACACGAATAAAAACCCCATTAGGCCTGTATAATAAAACAATTACTTAACTAGAGCCAAATAGGTTTTATTATAAAATCGTACACCCAATAAACAAAACATGTTTACTATTACACTTGAATTTTGTGATTGCAAATAAAACATATACAGGGTGTTTTTTTAAAAACTTGCATCGTTATTTATGTAAAAACCGCAATAGATAGAAATATGCAGTTTGCGGGAATCATCTATTGATGTAGGGGGCCCAATTGTTTTGAATTCAACGTTACATTCACATTCCCCCCCCTTCCCCCAACTTATTTTAGCGAATTTCCCTATAGGGAAGTAGCTATTACCGTAGGTCTCATGGTAAGACCTAAGCCCGGGACCGATTTACTTTTTCATTTTGATGTCCCCAGAGGCCAAAAACACCATTCGTCCAAATTTTTATATATCTATATATAGAGATATATATATATATATATGTGTCCATCCGCACGATAACTTGAGTAATTTTTGTCCGATTTTGATAAAATTTGGTTTGAAGGTGTAAGGTGGGATAAACTTGAATGAGTTCGCGAACCAGCATGATCAGACTATGGGAACGGGGGTTTATGGAGGGTTTTATGGGGTAAAAATAGGTTTTTCCCATTTTTGACCCTAAAAACACAAAATTTCACAATTTCTTTTTAAACCATTTTGTAGAGCTTAAAAAAACAAATAATTTAGTATATTGAAGCGTTATTATGCGCCTAATTGTTACGGAGAAAATTCAAAAAAATTGTAATTTTAAAATTCCCATGTTATTCATAATGGAGAATAAGTCAACTGTTGCAGTTTGCTTGTTAATGAACATATTTTGATCAAATTTGGAAAATACATTAATTTCTTACTAAACCACAGTACTTTTTAATATTTTACATTTAAAAAAAAAACTTGTTTACCCTCCCTGTTGCAGCAAACCTAAGTACTGATTAAACTAATCTATCTATATATTAATAGGCAAGCATGTTTCTTTAAAACCTTTTTTCTCAGCTCGTGTGCATCGTAGGGAAAATCTACGCATACCGTTAGAAAGCTATTTTCCTGTAGGTGTGCAGAATCCCTTTATAAATTTAAATAGGCTCAAAGATAAGCGCAAAAAATGAGTTTAAAAATTTGAAAAAATTTACATGGATCTTATGCGTTGCCATGCTGGTGACGAAATAACAACGAAATATAAACAGAAAATCAAAACAAATGGAAGAAACTCCAATCACATGTTTTATTTACAGTGTGGGGTGAAACGTTAACATAAGTGAGTACATTACATATTTTTGGTCGAGTTTCGACCACTGGACATTACTCGTTCTGTTTAAATAAGGGAATAAATGTGATATTTTTAAGGAGACATTTTAGTTTAAATTCAATCAGGCAGATGGAAATTCGCTAAGTCTGCAGGTTTGCTGCGGCGGGGGTATTTTTAAAATAGCAAGGTAAACTTACCCCTTGTGACATATCAAATAAAAGAGCAAGAAAAAATAAAATGTTTGATGAAAAAAAATTTAAAATTGTTTCATAAATTTGCGAGATATTACCCCCCTCCCCAAAACTTAATTTTTTTTTAATCGCAAGGTACACCTTGTGACATATCAAATAAAAGAGCATGAAAAAAGAAAATGTTTGGTGAAATTTATTTTTCATTTGATATGTCACAAGGGGGGGGGGTACCTTGCTATTAAAAAAAGTTATGGGTAGGGGAAAAGCGGGGGGATTATCTCACAAATTCATGAGCCGATTTTAATTTTTTTCATCAAACATTTTCTTTTTTCATGCTCTTTCATTTGATATGTCACAAGGGGTACCTTGCGATTAAAAAAATCAAGTTCTGGGGAGGGGGGGGCGGAAATATCTCACAAGTTTATGAACCGATTTTCAATTTTTTTTTCATCAAACATTTTCTTTTTTCATGCTCTTTCATTGGATATGTCACAAGGGGTACCTTGCTATTTCAAAAAAATAAGTTGGTGGCAGGGGGGGGAAGCGGGGGAATGTGAATGTAACGTTGAATTTAAAAAAATTGTGCCCCCTACTTCAATAGATGATTCCCGTAAACTGAATATTTCTATCTATTGCGGTTTTTACATAAATAAAGATGCAAGTTTTTAAAAAAACACCCTGTATATATGTTTGTTCACTTTAAAAAAATAATGCATCCTTATAATTTTTTTTTTTTTTTTTATTATATTCACTACAACTAGTTTCTACTTAGGAATTTTGTATGAAACAAAACCTATTGTGTTTTGTTATACAAATATACATAAAATAAACACAATGGAACACTTTATACTGTAAAAATAATTTTTACTTGTTTTAACTATACAGATATTATCCGCTACCCGTCCACGGATGATTAGAAAAGCAGCGGATATATCCGCTACCCGTCCACAGATGATTAGAAAAGCAGCGGATATATCCGCCACCCGTCTTTGAAGATATGTCCATGACAACGTTAGGCAATAAATAAAGAACAATATGTAAACAATCAAACAACGTAGTGTTGAGCGTGAAACGTCGAGGGGGGAACGTAGGAGAGGTGGGGGGTGCATGGGAGAGGGGTTGGCGCCGGGAGAGGGGGGAGTGTGGGAAGAGAGCAGGAAAGTGGCACCTTGGTACCGTGAAACATCTGGTTACAGCTTAAGCACCTGCCAGTCTGTCTGAAGAGAAGGCGGATATATCCGGGTCCCGTCCAGAACATCAAAAACCACAAGCGGATATATCCGCCACCCGTCCTTTATCGCCAAAGACTTAGGCGGATATATCCGCCACCCGTCTTTGAAGATATGTCCATGACAACGTTAGGCAATAAATAAAGAACAATATGTAAACAATCAAACAACGTAGTGTTGAGCGTGAAACGTCGAGGGGGGAGCGTAGGAGAGGTGGGGGGTGCACGGGAGAGGGGTAGGCGCGGGTGAGAGGGGGAGAGAGCTCAGCCATGGAGAGGGCAGGAAAGTGGCGCTTTGGTACCGTGAAACATCTGGTTACAACTCAAGCACCTGCCAGTCTGTCTGAAGAGAAGGCGGATATATCCGGGTCCCGTCCAGAACATCAAAAACCACAAGCGGATATATCCGCCACCCGTCCTTTATCGCCAAAGACTTAGGCGGATATATCCGTCACCCGTCCGGGAAGGGCGAACTTAGGGAAGATTTGGTAAGAAAGTTGGCAGCTATATTTAAAAGTGATGTCAATTAAAAAAAAAAACAGATTTTCATTAAAAAATTAGAAGTCTCCCTTTGAAAGTCATTTCTAACCGGCATAGTTTCTGAGTTGTACCAATGATGACACATTAAAGCTGTTAACCCTTTAAGGATATTTAAAAAATTAGATTTTCTTATCTGCAGGTGCTCACGCTTGTCGTGCTGTCTGTAATACCTTGGCCAGGACCGACAGTCTTCAAGATATCCTGCCCTCGAGACAGCGCAACTATCGTTCGCAAAATAGTACAAAAGGTAAAATTTAATCTATGAGTTATACACAAGTAGAGTTAATGACATAATGGAACGATTTTATCCATAAAATGTTAGAGGCACTTAATTACTGTTTAGCACTACATGTAACTACTAAATGGTCATCTAAAAGTCACCAGTTCAATCCTGGCAAGTCTATTTTTATTTTAATAATAAAAAAAAAACTTTTCAATGGTTCAAGAATAGACCCAGCTGTCATTGATATGGTCCCGGTATACTCAGACACTCTTACCGCCTACTCACTTGGTTAGTTTTTCCCGATCTACAATCATTGGACATATTAAAAGCCCCATTTAATTCTACTTTTATAAAAACAATTTCAGAAATGGATTCCAGTGCTGGAGAAGTACCAAGTCCAGATCCCTCTGGAATGTCCCTTTCATCCGCTGAGAGACATCTTCAGACCTCAGCAAGCCGCCAAGATACAGAACCGTCCTTCACAATGGACCTGCGGCCTCTGTGGAAAGTCATTTTATGACGAGAGGTTCCTAGATATGCACTTTGACAACAGGCACAAAAACAACATTAATATGGTAAGATCTTTCATTTACAATAATTGTTGCTGAAGTGCCTTACAATGTTCTTTAACCTGAATATGGTGAGTCAAAAGCACGGCAGACTCCTGGCCCAATAAGGCAGTGAGTGACGTAGTAGGTTTGGATTCTCATATATCTAAGATTACTTATTATCAGTATAGTTCACTATACTACAAAAGGTATGTGGACAGGCAAATGCAAGGTTAAAAAGTCTGCCAACCTATTTCAAAAATTTATATATTTGGTTAGCTAGCATGAATGTATTCATTCAGAAAAAATATTACGGAAAGAGAATTTATGGTAAAACCAAGTATCAGATTGATTGAGACATAGTTATTTTTTATATGTACATGCTTCACCATATAAGTTACAAGGAGGACCAACACAAGAAGAAAAAAGCTATTTTATCCTCTCCTCAGCTCCTTATATTTCACTATCTGCTTCGGGAGGTTACTCAATTGAGGTCCTGTAAACCAACACTACAAACATTCTGCGAGATTGGCTGTAATAGTTCTTATAAAAGCCTTATATGTAATAAAGTTAAACAATCATTAAGATTGTTAGAGTCAATTAAGTTCTACCATAAAATACTTGGGTAAGAAATGTTTAAAGAACCTTGTTAACCAAATATTAGTACTTATAATTTTTTTTTACAGGCTGAAGATGCCGTTTGTCTCGCCGACTACTGTGACATAATGCGCTGTGAGGTTTTGCGCACCCAAGACCTCGGGCCGGATGTGACTCAAGGCAACACAGACATCGAGATATGGCGGGAAGCTACGGCATACCACACGGCACTTAGCCCTGTGGGACCTCGGGCGCTAGCTCGGGTGGGGGTAGGAGTGTTCACCTCTCCCCACCCTCCTACCCCTCCACCACCTACCACACCCACACCCGCACACTGTCCTCGGTCAGAGGCACCATCGGACTCGGATAACCACACTGGAGGTGAGTCATTGAAAAGAACTACGTTTTAAGCTACTCAATGAATTGTTTTAGTTGAGGTAAAATTCATTTGTAGTTAATGAGACTAAAATATTTACTTATATGAATTCACAATATCATTGACTGATAATTAGACGTACCAATCCTATATTAAAGTTGGGAGCTAGTTTTAGAATGACAATTAATTGGCATAGTTTATACTGAGCCAAAAAGCAAAAACGATTGTGCTGACATAAATTATGCTGATGTAAATGATTTTTTATGTCAATTATGCCAACCTTCCAACTAATCCAAACTGAAGGCACAACTCACTGTTGTAGAATCCTTTTTGTAATATTCAAACATTTTAGTATAACAAATTTAGGGAGGAATAGAATTTGATCAGTAACAGAGTGTGTCTATGAGTATGGCTCTTTCAACTATGATCTGATGAAATATTTTGGCTGGTTCAAATATATGGGATGTCTAGTCAATGGTATGGACCAGTAAAACATAAGCCAATGCCTCAAGTAATCTTGTTAGAAATAAACCGAAGTTAGTATTACATTTTTATCCAAATTTTGAAACTGTTACATACACATTCAAATTCTTTATTTCATTGAGACAGTTGACAAAAATGTGTGATCTCTGAAGGTAAATCCATTTAAAAATTATTTCCTGATACTTCTCGATAAGAAGTGTCCTAAGGGGATTATGAAAATAGTCTTGTTATCGAGGTGCTCTTTTTATTGAGGGTCGTGTTATCAAGGTTGACTTCTCAATATGGCTTGTCATAGAGGTTCTAAGTACCCTCGTAATTTGAAAAAAAGGTGTCTTGTTGAGGTTGTTTAGATAGAAATATTCGTTTATAGAGGTTAATTTAACATTGAGTGTTATGGGGTTTTCAAGCAGATTTTAAAAGTGCACTTGTTATCGAGGTTGACGTGTCATTGAGGGTCGTGTAAACGTTTCTACTTTATATTTCATTTGTAACTGTTATGAAATTAGTATTTTAAGATTTTAATAAATAACTTCGTGATCAGAATCGTAAGTGTTATTACATTACCTGAAAGCACAAAAAATTTGTCAAAAAACACTTGTAATAATGTATTTATTATTAACACTTATACTGTCTACTCACAAGACGGTAAATAAATATAAAAGATGGTAAGGGGTGATCGCTTTCGATTGGACACTCCAATCATCATCAGACCCAATAGGCGAATATGATTCTGAAATTTAACATATTTTTTGTGCTTTCAAGATTTTAATGTCTATCAGGGATTTCATTAAGTAGACAAAAAGAGTTGTAAATTACTGAAATATTTAGGTGTATGAATTTATTTGTTTTCAAGGTATGTGTCCAGACAACCTAGTAGACTCGTCAGTGCCCCCAAAACACCAGCGGGTTAGCGAGTTGCAGAAACTCAAAGCTAATTGTAAACCTGAGGAACTCCAGAAGGTGAAATTACGTTGTGAGGTGAGCTGGTGTTATAATTTTCTAATAGACTGAATTTTAATTACCAGCTGATCGTATGATTTTATTCTTTGTGTTATGAAATAATACACTTTGTTAAACTGGTTTGGTCTTTTAGTTAAAATCTGACTGTGGTTAAACATTTAACTAAGAGATCAGCTGTTAAACTTTTATAAATAAAGTTGGTCAGCATTATTGAATCTATGAAAGTGAAGTCTAAAAAAAATTAAACGCTGTGGGAGGGGTGAAGCCCTAAAGGAAATTTTTACTTACCATTTGTCAGTTTGCTAGATCATAAGCTTTACTATGACACCTGGATAGTATAAATAGGTTTAGTAGGACGGAGAAAGAGGGATTGTTATAAAATTAGAATATTTACCTGAATAGAATACAGCCTCAATTCACTAATTACACTTACACATGTTGGGAGCTATAACATCGACGTAACAGAGAAAACCCTAATTGTATTGTATATTGTATTAAAGCTTCTTGATGATTATCAAAACACAAACTTTAAATAATGGTGTAAATACCTGCATTTATGTGATCAATTTGTTGCTAAATTGCAACCGGTTTTGACTCACAAAGGAGTCATCGTCGGGCCAGTACAGATGTCTTCTTGCTTCATTTGAAGGTTGTCAATTCATGATAAATAAATACATTTAACACGCACACGTACACGAACATAAAAACAAACATTTAGGGCTAAAAACAAAAGATAATACAATCCCCCCCGCCCGATCACGTCGTGTCCCATTACCATATTGTATTATCTTTCGTTTTTAGCCCTAAATGTTTGTTTTTATGTTCGTGTACGTGTACGTGTTAAATGTATTTATTTATCATGAATCGACGACCTTCAAATGAAGCAAGAAGACATCTGTACTGGCCCGACGATGACTCCTTTGTGAGTCGAAACCGGTTGCAATTTAGCAACAAATTGATCACATAAATGCAGGTATTTACACCATTATTTAGTATTTAACTGTGATAAGGAGGCTAAAATTCAATATAATGACAAACTTTAAGATTGATGCTTTGTTTACTGAGGTGTGAACTGTTTAGGTTTTAGTAAGAGACTGCATTGCAGGTCTTCTAGTCAACTTATCTATTCAAGACTTCAAGGATGTTGAAGGTAATAATTACATATTCATCATTATAAAATTAATTTCACTAATGCTCTGTAGGCAATAGAAAAATTAACCAATGAAAAACTAAGTAAAAATAATCTGTTACTCCATTTAAGTTTTATTATTCAATAAAGTAAGAGGTTGTCGTTTTCTCTTACATTTTGCATTGCCAAACTTGGCAAAAGCTGAATGAAAATGATACAACCTTTACAACATGAGTTCAGAATTTTTGGCCAACTCATTTTTTCTCCCTGTTGCTAAAGTACTTGTTATTTAAGACATCATGATTCCATTTAATTTATAACCTGTAAAATCCTTCAGCTCTGTAGCTGACATAATTTATGATAACCCTCAATTAAACTTATACTTTATCACCTTATATGTATGGTAACTAGAGTAATCACCAGACCCTTTGAGGTGGGGGCAAGTGTTGAGTTTGGCAAGGCTTCAAAGAGCCTCAGAGCCAGGGATTCAGTCGTAAGAAATCTTAGTTACCAAGATGCGTACCTTAGAGACCGTCTTCAGATATTTTCAATACCTGGGCAGAGTCAAGTTCCAATTCTTTTGTTTTGAATAATTCTACTTGTAAAAGCAGTGTTTGACTTTTACAGAGGAACTCAACCAAGCTGTCTGCTGGTACCTCACATGTGATCGCTATTGGCAGGACTCCACGTCTGACCTCCGTCACTTCCCGTGGGGTTTGGTCACGGTGTTCACCATGGTCTTGTCCCTGGGCATCTGCCTCTGTTACTACATCATATGGGTGCTCTTCGAGTCAGTATAAACATCAGTAAAATACAATATAAAACAATTGAATTCTTGTGAAATAAGTTATCAACTATTTGAGCTCAGTTGGCTGATGTACCAGACACAAGACTAACATAATCTAACATCAACTTCCATCTGTGCAACTATCTAAATGTGTTTAAAACTATCTATAATCTACATGCAATTAAATCTCTACTAATCCGTCCCTCTTGGTCTGGGACTAGGACAGTAAACATAATTTAAGGATACAAATTTCCTTATAAATTATTTCAGTTTGGAAACTAACCACGATTTTGGAAAGAAACAACACAGTGCACACGATAATCTTAAATAATATCATATTATTAATGTACAGTATGTATTTATATTTTAGCTAAATATGTGTAGTGTACTGAATAAACAAATTTTAGTGTCACAAAAACCTAGAGTAAAAATAGGTAAATAAATAATTTTGAAGGGACAGATAACATAAATTCACAGTTAAAATGTAAATAGTTAATCAAGGTCCCATTGTACAGCAAAATGTAAATATTTCCAACCCAGAAAATTGTTCAAGCCATTTAAGGAAAAGTTCAAAAGTAAGCATACCTTCACATTTTATAGTTGAATATAGGACAACACAGAATACAATAAGACTATAAATAAACAGACATAGAAACCAGTAGGCATTGTTGCTTACAGCTCGGATGACATGAGCGTTGCTAGTACGAGCGTAACAGCAAGTTCCAGTCCGGCACATCACTCACACTACAGTGAGGAGTATTACACCTCGGACGATCTACACGCCAGTGAACATTACATCTACGTCACCTACCCTCCTGACCTCAAGAGGCGACTGCTAGAGAGGTAAGTGGAGATTAGAGTGGACAAATATTTATTTGATTGCTCATTCCCCAGTGTTAGAGATTTTAAAAATTATACACAGGTTTAGATTATTTAAACTTCATTAAGAACTGAAAAATTCTCTCCTACCAAAACTATTTGTGTAGATTGATATTTCTACCTGATGTTGTATACTAAGTTTAGTAGAACTAAAAACTATTATATATCACAGTAGAACTCCACCATACGATTAGCTTACAGAAATCATTTTTAAAACCCTAAAACCACAGTGATAAGAATTGTTTTTAAAGATGGCAGAAACCGTGATCATTGAAAAATCCTGAACATCTCCCTCAAAAATCTTAAATACATCCCATGGCCGTATAGACATCATCATTGTTTTCTGCGATGACGGAAAAATACTAAAAATCTCCTACAATTAAATAAACATCATCCTCTTCCGCGAGTGTAGCAATATCTTGAACAGACATCAATAATGTCTCTCGCAGTCAGAGAAAATCGTCAGTCTCTTGCGGTCATAGAAAATCATTATTGTTTCCCGTAAAAAACTTTGTCATAGACCTCCACAGTTATATAGACATCTTCATCGTCCTTCGCAACCATGGCAAAAGTGTGAATTTTCAATTGTAAAATCTTTCAGTTAATTTTAGTTAAAATCCAACTATCCAAATTTTTGACCATCCAAATGTTCTGTCCCATAGGATAGTTGGAGTTCTAATATAGTTCAAATATTTAGAGTTATCAGTGTGTGTTTGACCCTTTTTTTGTAATAGGAATATTAGCTCTTAGAATCACAGTTTCAAATAGATCTTCAGTAAAATTTGTTGTGCATGTTTTAGCTGTTACAACCGAACCACGAGATTGTGAATGGAAATCTCTTTCGATTAAAAAAAGGTAAAAGTTTAAAAACTAGAAGAGCATTACTACTAATTTTAGTATACTTAGTGTATTAGTTGGTAGTTGTAGTTTAGAATGATTAATACACTAAAAAAATACATCTTAAATAAATAACTTTTTCCTACAGACACCCGACAAAGTGGGCTTCCTTGCACAGATTATAGTACAGAAAGTCTTACTTTGGCGCACACCAGTATTTCGACCCAACAACACAAAACAGCGTGCTTTTATTATGCACGTAATTTGTGTACGGTTGAAAATAAATTGGCAACACTTACAGATATTACAACTACAATCAGCTGGTGCAGCGTTTCCCATTTTGTTCAATTATTGGATTTAACTAGGGATGGACGAGATTGGATTTTTAGTTTGAGACGAGACGAGATTTTTTATTTCTCATAAAATTTTGAGACGAGATCGTGACGGGATTTCCCTTCTCATATATAACGGGAAATGCATGTTGAAATGCATGAAATTTTTACCAGATTTTGTAACATTGTTAGATGACTGCTTGAATACAAAAATACCCCCGCCGCAGCAAACCTGCAGACTAAGCGAATTTCCATTTGCCTGATTGGATTTACACTAAAATATCTCCTTAAAAATATCACATTTATTCCCTATTTAAATAGAATCAGCTTAACACATACTTAGGTTTGCTGCAACAGGGAGGGTAAAAGTGTTTTTTTTTTGTAAAATGTTAATAGTTTGTAAGAAATAAAAACATTTTCCAAATTTGGGCAAAATATGTTAATAAACAAGCAAACTACAACAGTTTACTTATTCTCCATAAGAATAACATGAGAATTTTAAATTTAAATTTTTTTGGAATTTTCTCCGTAACCATTAGGCGCATTATAACGCTTCGATATACTAAATTATTTGTTTTTTTAAGCTCTACAAAATTGTTTGGAAAGAAATTGCAAAATGTTATGTTTTTTGGGTCAAAAATGGGAAAAACCCATTTTTACCCCATAAAAGGCCCCATAAACCCCCGTTCCCATGGTCCGATCATGCTGGTTCGCGAACTCGATCGAATAAACGTAGGTTTACACGTTTGTACCAAATTTCATCAAAATCGGATCATTTTTGCTCGAGTTATCGCGCTAACGGACACATATATATATAAATATATATATATATATATATATGAATTTGAACGGATGGTGTTTTTGGCCTCTAGGGACCTCAAAACGAAAAAAAAAAATCGGTCCCGGGTCCAGGTCTTACCATGAGTACTACGGTAATAGCTTATTCCCTATATGGGAAATTCGCTAATAGTAATAAGTTAATAGGCAAGATATTTAAAATCTTTTATTAAAAAACGTCAGTATAAAAAATGTATATTAATTACGCCTAACTTATTAAAAATAACGCTTACGCTTAGGAAACATGGTGATATCAGTTAGGATAGAGTTAAACTTATTCTAAAATATAATAAATCATAAAATAAAAACAATATTAATTTGTATAAATACTTACTTGGTTTGGCTATGTTTACAGTAGTAAAACATTCCTCACACTGCTTACACTTAACAAAACTTCTCAAAATGATAAAACAGTTAAAAGAATATTTACATGTAAAGAACTAATTAAAAATAAGAACGCCTTCGCAAATGAAACGCAACTACAGCACGCTCCTGTATTGCGGGTATTGCATTGACTTTCTGAAGGCGTTTTTATTTTTTTTTAATCTCGTCTCGTAGAATGAGATTTAAAATTTCCCGAAATTTCGAGACTTGTCTATCCCTAGATTTAACCTAACCTAAAAATGTGTTGAACAGTATTTGAAAGATTAATTAATTATATGATTAATTAGTAGTATAATAATTAGGGTAACTGTAGGAAAAATATAATGTGTAACACGAGTGAAAACTGCTTTTGCTGCACTCGAGAAACTTTCTACACTCGCCTACGGCTCGTGCGTAATCATTTCTCTCGTGTGCAGCAAACTGCTACTTCGCCCACTAGTTACAGAAATAACTATTGACGTTGAAGGTATACGTTTCTTCTATCACATTTTAACATTTAACTCCCCTTTGAACTCAAATGAATTTTTCAGTGATTGAAGTACACCTATTCTTATCCTATTTTTACCCTAAATCTTTTGAATACTTATGTCTAAAGTATTTTACAACAAGTTTTCAAAAGTGACCGAATGTCTGATTTGAGGTGCGACTCACCCTTCCTGACAACTTCCACTAGAGTTCACTAATGGACAGGTATCTCACACATACAAGTACACCTCATGACTTGTACACTATATCTGACTTTAGAGGGTGGAGTCTACTCCCTACTGCACCCAAATGTTACTCCTTAGTGCTCCAATCTTGGGTCTTGGGTGTAACAAATCTCGGTCAATTCTTTGCCTCTTAAAGCATACAGCAGTTTTACAAAATCCATTATATTTCATACAGCATTTTAAAATTTGTAGGAAAGAAAGTAATATTATATACTAGGCTACATATTATATATCTCATTATCAAAATTACGTTTAACTTTTGCTTGATAGTATCAATATTTTTTCAGCTACCAACAATCATCCAACCAAGAGGAGGAGACATTTGTATGACAATTTAAGAAGAATTTGTCATCTTTTTATATTCCCACACATTTTCAGAACAAAGGCCTTCAAAAAGTCATTCCCTACAATCAGTTAATATTAAAAGAATACATATAACGATGGACTTGACGACGAATTCTAGTGATATCTGTAGATTTTATAGTCTAAAAACCTGAGAATTTTTATGGGATACAAGACCTACCTGAAAAGGAAATAATACATAATGGCACAATAAATACAAAACTCCATAGCCTATTCCAAATTTAGACTATTCCACTACTGGCCAGGAAGTTCACTGGATATCTATCCTGAGAAGACATTAGTTTCAATTCCAACTCAAACTTTACTTGGTTGAAAATACCATAAGTAAAAGTGAAATATTCTAATTTGTTAGCCTAGCCTATGTATAGTAAGTAACTTCTTGATCAACATTTGACCTGTTATTAAATTTACAAAAGGCAAAAATAAAAATACGAAATAAAAATACGCAAAGAACACTCTTAAAACATAAATCTACACCTTAACTGTTAACTCACAGGTAAATATAAAAGATGGTAAGTGTAGATCTATTTTGATTGGCCACTTCAATCATTATTAGACCCAATAGGTGAATGACAAGAACCTAAGCCAATAGGATATAAGTAGGTACACCATCAAGGTTCTTACCATTCGCCTATTGGGTCTCATGATAATTAATTGATAATAATTGATGATAATTAATCTAATCTAAAATTGATCACCACTTACCATCTTATGTATTTACCGTTTTTTTTAGTAACAGTAGAAATGTAGATGTATGCTTCAAGAGTGTTAATAGGCGTATCTTGATTTACTTTCTCTTATGTATAGTTTAAAGTTTTTGAATTTCTTGTGCCATAATGTACTCTTTTCCAATCAGGTAAGCCAAGCCTGCTTTTACAACAAAATTGTTGGAACCTAGGCTCTTCCCTTGTGCCCTCTTTTGGTCTTGAATTCTTCACTCTTCTCTAAGGACCAAAATTAGTCTGTTTTTTTAGCTTTGTTTGAATAGTAATCTGTTATCTAAATGTACAGATGTGCAATAAGAAAACATTTTCGAATAACCTTTTTACTCTATACCAATAAGAATATTTCTACATAGTTAGAATTGTCTTATCTAACCAATATTCACAAGCCAATGAATTAGTTTGACAGACTATAAAAAAACACACAAAAATTGCCAAATAACTATTATAAGTTCACTAATTTTTTGCATTAGAGTGCCTTTGGGTTTTTTAGCAGAAGGTGTACCTATTTGTGTGATGATACTACTATTGAAATGTCACTATTTAAGAAAAAATTATTTAAGAAAATTGAGTAAAAGATTGGTGTGAGCATTAGTTATGGTAGAACTTGCAATAGGCAAAATATTTGTGAAAACGAGTAAGAGATAGACATTTGACATTTTGTTAATCGGTAGTGTTTGAAATTTTCTTCGAGATAAGACCTTTTTTAATGAAAATTAGAAAACTAGAATTGGCACAAAATATACTAAATTAAAATAAAAACTGCATAAATAATAAAATACTCTTTGGTCAGTATTATGCTAGTCATTTGTGGAGGTAGATTGTTATTAATTTCTAAGCTTTAACTAAAAAAAACAATTCAACTGAAATTAATTAAAATTTAACTGAATTGAAATGAAAGTCAAGCTTCTTTCAGTTCTAAAGAATTGTAAAAGTTCAACAGGATTGAGCCAAATTTGGCTGTGTAACAATCATCTAATGAACAATGTGTATATTTATTTCTTAGTAAAAATAAAGCAAAAATTGAAGATGGTAATTTAAATTCCATGGTAGTCAATTTTATTGATTTATTTTTTTTAAATATTTAAGTATGTTTAAGTTTTATTTTTTATTTTTTTTAACATTAGCACTGCTATGAAATATCAAGGAGAAATAAAATTAATATCTCTGCTGAACATCATTGCAAACAACATATTGTGTGAAATTAAAATTTTTTAAAGAACATTGATGCAGTAGGTTACCCTACTGCGTAGGGTAATTTGTGTAAAAAAATACATAGGTTGGCAGCACTTAAAAAAAAAATTGAATGTGCGGGAAACTGGCTGTGTTGACAAAGGTGCGGCCAGAACGTTTTTTGTGTTTTCTGAAAAGTGAAAATACTCGTGCAATATTGCATCGACATTGTTGTATTGCAACATTGTTCGGTGGAGCTATTAAAATGTTGAGTATTAAAACTTATTTTAAGTTGTACACGGTGGTTGTGAAAATAATTGTTTTTGCACAAATAAAAACAAACATGATTACAAAGTGTCATGTTTTGGTTTTTTATACGTCTGAAGTGAATTTGTAATGTAATTACATCGTAGAATTTCTTTGTTATTTATGAGGAACATAAAGATTTTGAAACTTATTCCTGTAATATTCTCTAAGCAATTTGTAAGTCGATGTGTTCCAAACAGTTTTATTTGGCTTTCAGTTACTTCACTCTTACATAGGTGCACAATGTTTATACAATTAGGATTAAATCTACTCAAGCAATCTTATGTTTGTAATTTATTTACCCATTAAATGCATTACCACGACCCAGGTGAAGCAGTGCTTACTTAGATTACTTGGATGTAATATATGTTATCTGCAGAGAGAGTTTTGAACTTTTAGGTCTTTTAGTATTGTTACTAAGAAGTACAGAACACACTGTACAATTTTCATTAAAATACTTAACAGTAATTTGGTTGACTTTGACATGCATAAGTGTAACTGGATA